TACTAACGGTTCGCATTATTTATTCACTCATGCGAGAATTGATTCGAGTTATTAAAAAAAAGTACTTTATTTTTTAATTTTATCTTTACAAATCGATAGTGTTTCATGGACCAGTTCGAACCTCCAAGGGATTAAAACGATTTAAATTTAACGGTGTATAGTTCGCGGGCTAATTAAATTTCTTACTAAAGCTGGAATTCCAAAAAAATATTTTCAGTTGTATTGAATTGTATTGACGTTTAACATTGTATTCTTTACTCACATACTAAACTTGTATACAAATCAAGATGAATATGTTGAGATTAAAATGTGTGTTGCGGGCCATATGAAATCAAGCCATATGAAATCAAACGTATATGGATGGAATAAAACTTGCCGTAGCTTGAAAACAAAAATTGTCATATGGCAACTTTGTTCACGATTCTTTTTGGACGTGAGTCCTACTCATACTTTTTTATTTCCATTGGTCAGTAAAATCTAACAGGACGTCTCTTTCAGGGGTCTAAAGTGTATTTCCGTGTAACGAAAACGTATCTTAATTGTTTGTCTTGATAATCTTATTTCTTGTCGTATCTTCCAGATAAAACATTTATTGCGTAAAAGTTGTTCAAGCAAAGTTTATTTGTCTTTAATATTTGATTAGGTCTTGCCTTACCATCTTCTAGGGGAAGGGCAGAGAGAATCGTTTGAGGTTTTTACGTTATTGTTTCATCTTTGAGCTAATTTACATGAATGTTTTGGTAAATACTATAATTATAAGAGATATTTTGTTGCCTTAAGCTTAAGCTTATAACGTACATACATACATCAACAGCCTATAAATGCCCACTGCTGAGCAAAGCCTCTTCTCACACGGAGAAGGTTTGAGCATTAATCACCACGCTTGCTCAATGCGGGTTGGCGATTTCAAACTTATAATTAGAAATTATAAGTCCAGGTTTCCTCACGATGTTTTTTCCTTCACCGTTTGTCAGTGGTGTCTGAATAATCTTAGAAAGTATATACATATAACTCGGAAACAGTCTCATTGGTACTTGCCGTTGGTAGGTTTCGAACCTGCACCCTCATGCATGAGAAGCGGGCGCCTTAAACCTCCGGGCCACCACGACACGATTATAATATAAGCTATAGAAAAATTGCTCCATACATTTACCACTCAAAGAAACTGGTGAAAGAGCATATTATATTTAAGCTGGGATTTTTATATTGTTTACGTACATTTAGTGCTCTATACTAGTGTAAACTAACGATTCAGTGTCTGCATAAGCCGAGGAGACGTCTCAGACTCAAACTGTTCCGCTGCAGTGGATCACATAAGCTCATCACGTTCTCATACACTTGATACTCGATCGTAAGCAGTGCAGTTTTGCTTAAAACCATGTCTGATGTGTAAAGGTATTGAAGATTAACTGGAGAAGTGGATACTTAATATCTATTTTATTAATGTTGATAGAGTTTTTAATCGCTTATCTGGTTTTAGGTGAAGTTGGTGCTAGTTCTTTTAATTACAATTTTGTCTGTAATCGAATACGTCTAGATTTGTAATAGATTTTTGTTAAAAGCCTGTGGTCTTAAAATGGTTTCGAAACTGTAATATATTCATTTCATATTCATTCATATTTATATCTTTATTTGCATTTCATAATGTTTCTTAAGATGTTACATTGGTTTAAAGCTAGGACACAATTATGGACCCTGTCGGGTACAGCAATAATTAGCTAACGGTTCGTTACTGAATTATAGACATGTCTGTCCTATGCTGATAACCGTAAAGATTTATGCTTTTTTGGCGCTTTGATTTTAATCACCGATATACACTACTAATATCAGAACTAAAATAAACCATATTCCATAAAACCACTTCTTTCCACGTGACACTAAGAATACCCCCCTCACATTTTTGTATGGAGTTTTTACGTTAGGAAGCACAATGGATGAAAAATTCCTTTGTTACCCATACATTTCCTATAGCGATGTCCCCTTGTCCTTTTTCGGAGGGTTTAGGGTAAAAACAAGGGTGATAAGTGCACTTTTATTTTGATGCTCTCTTTCTTCGATTATAAGGCAAGACGTTGGGTCTTTCTTAGTTATTATTTTTTCTTAAGGGTCGGCTTAAGAATTCATCTTTGACGCTCGAGGGAAACGGATTATTATTATTATTATTAAAATGTCCTCAATTCCGGTCTTTGTGTTTGGTGAAAGAATTGTGATGTGAAATGTTCATATGAGGTTTAAGTTTGGGTTTTTATTGTTGTTGGATTAGGTGAAGTGCGTGGTGAATTTAGATTCGAAATCCTATAAAATACGTACGTTAACATGGAGTTTCTTATTGGTTCTATTGTGTAGCCATTGGCTTACTTCATCCTATCACATTGCTGTCGAGAAGCGAATAACAACTTTTTTTAATTTTTTGAGAACGAGTTTGATAGAAGTGTTTGACTCCAACTGACAACTTTTTTAATTTTTTGAGGTCTAGTTCGATAGAAGCGTTTGACTCCAACTGATGTGAATTCAAGTGAAAAAAAACTGTTCTAGCTGCCCAGCCCCCAGGCGGTCACTGGTGACCACTCTCCACTTACTCTATTATAGACCTTACTTCCGATATTTAAAGACTACTTTTGTATGACTGCCTAGTTGTCTGAGTGGTCGCAAGTACGACTGCCGGGCAAGGGGTCTCGGGTTCGATTCCCGGGTCGGGCAAAGTATTATTGGGTTTTTAAAAAAAATCTCAGTAGTAGCACGGAGTCTGGAATCGTGCCCGGTATATGGAAATAGGCTCACCCCCTATTACATGGGACTCAAAACATAATAGTGAAAAGTGAGTGTTACATTTTACAATGGCATAATGTGCACAGACCTCTGCCTACCCCTTCGGGGATAAAAGGCGTGATTTATGTTATTTTATTTTGTTTTGTATAAAAAAGTGTTGTGGGTTTTTCATAATCGGGGATTACGAAGCTAGCTTGTTTTTCCATTTGTTTATGAAAATTTTCTGCAGTTTGAGAAGCAATCACGGTGAAGACAGCATTTCAAAATGTTTCAAACAATTGGTTCATACGAACTCCATTTAACTTTGACGAAGCTTTTCTACTTATGGAAGACTTTGACAATTTTGTCACCTATTGTATGGGAAGTTATATTATATTAATGTGTCATCACGCTTGTTTTAACTTCGAAAGTGTAAGCAGACTTGAAGAGTTGACTTTTGTCATAGAGTTATCAGACAATGAGAAATAAAAAGATGGTTAGCTTGTTATCTGATGTTGCAAGTAAACTTCTGGTAATCTTCGATGATATAAAACATAATTGATTAATTAATTAATGACTGACTCTCTGCTCGTTGGGCGAGTGGTCGCAAGTGCGACTGCCGGGCAAAGGGTCTCGGGTCGAGCAAAGTATTACTAGGTTTTAAAAAATATATCTCAGTAGTTACACGGAGTCAAGAAATGAGTCCGGTATATGGCAACAGGCTCACCCCCTATTACTTGAACTTATATCATAAATAGTGAAAAGTGGGTGTTTACTTCTGTGTACACCTCTGCCTACCCCTTTAGGGATAGAAGGCGTGATGTTATGTTATGACTATTCTATTTAAAGAACTCAATTTAACATTAGCTATCCTGAATATATACACCTAGTCTACTATAGTTAAAGTAAAATAGTTACTTCTATGAAATAAGCTAAGGACTTTTAAAGTCAACAGACTAAATGTTATTGCTATTCTAGTTAAATAAAACTAGTTGTCCGTTCCAGACCATATATTGTTATAGCGAAAAATAAGAACGAAATTATACAAACCCACTTTTATACATTACACTGGTAAATGACCCATAGCTTGGTCGCGAAAACAGAACGTCATGGCATCACGCTCCCCTTTGTCCGAAAATAGGACAAGCTAGTGAATAATATAAAGGAAACTCCGAAAACGTCCATTTTTGCTTACACAGTAAAACAATTTGAGAAGTGAAATAATTAATTTTGTCTCCAAAGGGTTTAGGGAGCTCTCAAAGCGATGGTAAAAGTGATTGATGGAATGAATAATACAAAAAAAAGACTAAAGTTTACTAATATTGAAGTTTTGTGTACGTGGTCACTTTGTTTGCAATTGTATGTTGATTTTTGTTTACTTTTGACTATATTGTTTGGTTGGCGTTGCTTGGCGAGTGTTCCAGCTTATGAAATGAGCGTTACGAGTCTGATGAGGTCGAGATAAGTATGTATATGATAAATTTTCAGATTTCCAAGATGCTCAGCGATATTTGTGTGTGATTTAAAATTTTTAGAAACACAATGTTTGTGATCCTGTACGATACGAGTGACAACATGTTCATTTTTAAGTATGAAACTAATAACATAACTAGCAAAACTGGCCTTTCATATGTTTTAAACTTAATTGTTATTATGGGTAATAAAACAGGCATACTTATAGAGGTACAACGTATACGTAACGTTGCGTAATAACATGCATACCTACTTACATCTGGTTACGACTAAAGTAAAGCCGTAGTAAACTCCAATAATATGCGCAACTGGCCATTGAGTGACGAGATTTATCCGTATCTGTACGGCTCGATACATGAATCGCACAATTTATTTAGGGTGTAGAAGTGTTTATGTTCTGTGTCCATTGGTAGCATAAGTCATAAGCCATTTGATACCTACCACACATCTCTTAGGTTCTAATTACATTTAGCATGTGGCAAAAGGTACTTCTAGCACCATTAAGATATAACTTGCAAAACGCTGGTGTTCTGAGAATAATTGCTAACACCAAAAAGTTTATTTTTATGGTTTAGAAGGCAAACGAGCAGATGGATCACCTGATGGTAAGCGATCAGCGCCGTCACAGATGCGTTGCCGACCTTTTAAAAAGGAATAGGCTCTTTTTCTTTAAGGTCCTATCGGAACTTATCTCACATATCGGTTTATTGCGATACCTATTTAAGTAATATAATATTATAGGTACCTACACTAGGGGAGATAAAATGATAACACCAATACCGTCGATAAACATTTATTAATATATTTTATCATTTTCCATATTCCAATATTAATACAAGTACCATATTCCACAATCAGGAACGTGCATAAGAAGCTACATACATACATACAGAAGATTCTACTTGGCTGCAATACCATATAATATACTCCTGTCCGAGAGTCGCATACAATACATTAAGATTCGTTTTATTATAATATATGAATTATGTATTGACACATTAATAATAGATATTTTAAAAATCTAAGATGCCAATCGCAAATACAAATGGCGTTGTTATATATAAAGGCTTATATTAGCGTCTTCCACCAAGTTTTCCATTATCGATACCTCCTTACGTGACTAAAACATTTAGGTTTAAAGTACATTTATATTTTTTTTTCTATTTTGTAGTGATCGCTACTTCCTATTAACATAAGTTTACCATCAATTTAGCCGCTACTGTTTATTCCTCTACGATTAGATTACTTAACTCTACATACATACATATATTGTAATAGAATAGGTGAACTGCCTGCGAGGCGACGTGTCGCTTGGTCCGAACCAAAATTTGAAACAAACAGAACACATGAGGACGCGTCGCCAGCGGCAGTTGCCGGGGTCTGATTGACCGAGCTTGACGTCGGGGCGTACTGATTGGGCAATAAGGCTGGGTGATTGCCCAACCACGTAAGCGGACACTCGGTAAATCAGATAAAGAAAAACTACATGAAACAAATCAAGAGAAGAAATCTAAATTCAATGAGAACAAATACCATTTGTAAATTTTGTATATCATAAAAGGTCCAAAAATATTTCCGAACCAAAATCTAGGTCCCTGTTTTCAATTCGAATCTCTCTAAGCTATAAGTGAGAGTAGCACTAGAGAGGGAACGTAGAGAAATGAAATATGATAAAAAAGCAACGGGTCCGTTTGAAAGTGCTGATGTTGTCGTCCGATGGAGCGGCGGTCAAGTCGGCTGGTGGGAGTTGGTCGCCGCTTCAGGGGAGTCGGGTGCTGGGTGCAGGCCTACCCCCACTTCTGGAAGAGCCCCATGCGCTGGCAGCGGCAGTTGGAGCCCCAGAGGTTGCACCTGCACGAGGAGGAATGGCAGCAGTCGCCAGGCCGATGGTCGCAGTTGCCTCCTCGCTTCACACAGGCGCGCCTGAAAACGTAGATCAGCGACGATCGTCTGAAACCACATCATTGAACGCTAGCCTAAGATTATGTCCGTGACAATGCTGAGCGTAGCCGCTAGCATTCACTTCAGGGAACTTTCCTTGTTTCGGAATATTCGATTTTTGTTTCATAAAAGATTAATTTATTCTTTTACAAATATATGAGTAAAAGTGATGAATTTTCCTTCTAATAAGTAAATAAATAGAATTAACTGAAGCATATAAAATCTGACACAATTGATTGAAACATTCTCAACATGGATAAACTTCATAACTCAAGTCTGTAATCACGAAGTCTCGCTTCGTTAACGTTTCAAGATTCACCTTGTTTAAATGGATTTACGTATTCGATTTCAGTCTTTATGTTTAAGGTAATAGAACTCACTTTCCAACATCCTGCAGCAGCTGCAGATCAGCGGGGTCTTCTCCGTAATCAGACAGGTTTACTTCAACGTCGTCGTCTCCTGTTGACATAATGTTGTGTCAGTTTTTTATTTTATGTTATTGATTCTGTAATGTAGAGGGCACTCCACAAGGGTGAAATAGAATTTAATAAGATGGCTGAATCTTATTAACTATGTGACTAGTAATAAATCACGTACAAGACTAATAAGTTATTTTATCAAGAAGTAATTTAAGTAAGTAGTATTTTGACTGCTACGTCAATCGAGTGGTCAAAGTTCATAAGCGGTTTGAAGGGGATATCTTGAGATTAAACCTTGAGTGGGATAATACTCCAGAGAATTTTTATTTAGATAAATTTTCACATAATTTGCACAGACAGACGTTTTGCAGTAGTTAAACATACCAGGGTCAATGTATGATGCATGAGCCCACTCAGCGGCGAGTAGGACGGCCGCTAACGCCAGCAGGAGTGCGCCGGCGCGCGGCATTCTGCCTGCGCGACTACCGCTGCTTGCCTATAATGTGACAACAGAACTGTAAGACAAAAGGCATTTAAGTGATAGTTGATTAAAAGAATAGAAAACTCAATGTATGATGTCAATGATGAATGTCGAGTTAAATATCGCTTAAACGCCATTTGGCTTCTGTCACAGATTACTTTCACATGAAATAGAACAATTTTCACAACGAAAGAAAAGCTGTTTTTAGCTTCAGAGTTCCCGTGTTGTGTGTGGTGAAGTTTGTTAGAAATGGTGGACACAAGACACGATATCTATAAAACGCGACAGACCTAGCAGCAAAACCATCCTTCAATTCCAAAGAAAAGTAAGAAAAATAAACAATATTATCATATCAAACCGACCTGATAATTCCAATAATTCCTGATAAGCTTGAATCTTCGACTGCTTAAAACTCTATATCGGCTATCATACCTACAATGACTAAAAACTAAATCCTGTGAGAAAGATCCTAAAAATAATTTTATGAATAATATTGAGAATATTTTATGCTTTCATAATGATCAATCATTAATTACTACGCTTGTGCTAGCCATCACGTAATACATTAATCCAATTATGTTTTTGTTATTGAAATATTTCAGTAGGATATAATTATTTTAATATAAAATAATAGTGAGATACAACGAATCAAAGTTTAGAACTGGGTGCTAAAACGTCATTTCTACGAATAAAATGTACATAGAAGTGACGTCACGCAGCCCTTCAAACCAATATATCGACGAAAGTATTCGTTTTGATAAAAAACTAAAAAAAAACGTGTCGAATGTTTTAAACTAATCCACCAGACGAACATTAAAACAATATTAGGCATTAGACCTATTAACTCGTCGAGTACCGGTTTTGTAGACACAATTATAGAACAATAGGTTGCGGTCACCGGTGACCGCTTGGTGTTGGACAGTTTAAACACAGAATGCTCATTTTATGTTTCAACACATTTTTATTACAAAATGATAAGTAGGAAAAAGGTTATAAACACTAATAATAGTATTATTTTAACCACTCAAGATTAAAATATAAAAAGATCGCAATAAAATATCTGGTATCGTAGATCGTCTACGAAATCTCGTAGCAACTTGCTACAGCTCTACGCTTTTAGACTGCTACGGCTACGAGACGATTAGAACCGTTTCGCACCATTGCTAGCAAGATTACCGGTCCCTAGTCCATGACCCCGTTACCATGGTAACCCAAGACAAGCGGTCCGACTTTATTGTCTAGAAAATCCCGATAAAATGGAGTGGAATAGACTTATAAGTTGACAAGTCGCATTTTGGTGACGTCAAGTGGAAGAATGGCCTTTATCTTTGACCAACGTGAACCTGAACGTGTTGCGTTCTTTATATTAGATACAGTTTATATAGATTCCTTATGCCGAATCACTTATCGAAATAAATTATTCAGAATTAGTCGAGAGTAACCGTGTTAACATACAAATTCAAATTGAGTGAGGGGGACTTCCTGAAATTAATCTTGTGTAAGGAAATGTCAAAGTCTCACGTTTCCAAGTTATTTTGTTATTAACGCTGTAATAGAGAACGACCTACGTCAAATGATTGGGTCAAGATGTCGTGGTACCCACGAGAATTGTAAATCAAATCCCCTTCATAAAGGATCAAAACAAGAAACCGAAATTGTGAACCTACACTTAGTAATGACAGTTGAGAATATCAAAATAACATAAATATTAAATTAATTGTACTGCACAGTTTACTTACATTATTGTCTTACGACGTTACTTGATTAATTTCAAACCACATTGGGGTCCACAAGCATGAGTAGCTTGCATAACACCGACACGTGACCAGCGTTAATCTATCCATATTAATAAAAATGAATATCAGCTCGTTATTCTCGCTAAAACTCGAAAACGGCTGAACCGAAATGGCTAATTTTAGTTATAAAATGTTAGTGAAACTCCAGGGACGGTTATAAACGTAAGAAAAAAATTTTTGGCGTTATGAAGTTTGCCGGGTCAGCTAGTAACGTAAATTGATTACTATAAATATGTATAATAGGCTAGTTTCCTAAATTTTATTTTAATGTCCGTCTGGTAGATTATTTTAAAACATTAGACACGTATTTTTTCTTTTCTCACAAAATGTAGGACAATGTGATGTAACGACCTCCCACTCCTAATCTTAACTCCAATTTATCTAAGTATTGTAACTTTATACGAGAAAATAAAAAAATACGTGTCTAATATTTTTTCATTATTTAACTCGTCGAGTACCGGTTTTGTAGACACAATTATAGAACAATAGGTTGCGGTCACAGGTGACCGCTTGGTGTTTGACAGTTTAATTGACGGATTAATTACATTTTTAATTTTCTTACCCAGGAAACTACCCAATTATATTATTGTTAAAACAGGTAAAAGACGCACTATAGAAATATAATCAATTATTAATCACTATAACTACAGCTTACAGCTTCTTCATCAAGCGTTGCAGTTGTAATTTGTAATTAATAAAAACCAAGTACAATTGTTTGATTTAAAAACAGAAACAATACACAAGGAAAATAATATGACAAACAATGGAAGCCTTTGAACAGTAGCTGTTCAATAAAATATTTAATTTAATTTTGTCATTTTGACAGGCCAACATCCCCATTGCGATGTGTTCAAGTATTCATAAGTAACGCTCCATGTCATGTCGTGTGACGTCACAGATGTATTACTGACTAGATGGTGCAAATGAAACTTTTTATAGGTATTTTATAGACTCCGAAATAATAAAAAAAAATTCAAATTAATTTATAATTCATTAAATTGAATCAGATGCTTTGTTTTAAAACTTATGAGGTGAGGTAGGTAGAGGTGCACTGGAAATGTTGTAAGTTCTATGTTATGAGAGATTCAATACTCCGAGCAATTTCACTTTAAGTTTACGTAGAAATTGTGATATTTACATATCATCACACAATGGAACCTTATTATAAAATATTAAAAATATATATGTGTGGAATCTAGCATACTACATCTCTGTACGAAACACAGAAATAATACCGAAAATGTAAGTATGGCGGGGGTCGAGTTCAATGCGAATGAATGTTCGGATCGGAGACGTAATGTGCACCGGTATGTTGACAATATACGCAGTTAACTTATAGCAAAAAATGATTATATTAAAGCTTATACATAATTTGATTTAAGTAAGTTGTTTGTATAATTTTATTTGAAAAGGTTGTGAGATTTACATGAACTGTTTGTACTTAACGAAGGTGATCATTTTTGTAATCTGATTTTATCTGAGTTAGGAGATTAGATAGGAAAATGATTCATTGTTCTCTGATCAATTTGCAGCATTTTTCTCAAGAGTGCCAGTTTTAAGCAGCAATTTTAAATATCATAATAATAAGGCCTTTTTCATGTTTCTAATATTAAAACGTGTTTTAAATAAATATTATGATTGTTTAACGCAAACAAAAGATATACCAAAAAATCCTTTCAAATTATACAATGTCCCCTCATCTATGTGTATTTAATAACTCGTATTGTGACGTCACAAGAGACAATCCAACTTGTATCACTAACCCACTATCAAAGGGAATAGTTGGACGAACTTTGATTACTTCCACGCCCTTTGATTGGCAATGTTGACGCATATCATTGCCTATTTCGAGCAAAACTATTTGTGGTTGAGCGAACAATTTTATTGGTCTTTCTAGACTTTTTGACATAGGTCTATGTTTTGGATACATTTTTGATATAGAGGTGATTTTATTGGTCAGTGACTAATGTGGTCTAATTTATGTGTTTTAACATAACATAACATAATATCACCCCTTTTATCCCTGAAGGGGTAGGCAGAGGTGCACATTACGGCACTTAATGCCACTGTGCACCCACTTTTTACGATTTATGTTATGATCGCAATGTAATATGGGGTGAGTCTATTGCCATATACCGGGCACATTTCCAAACTCCGTGCTACTACTGAGATTGTTTAAAAACCCAGTAATACTTTGCCCAACCCGGGAATTGATCCCGAGACCGCTTGCCCAGCAGTCGCACTTGCGACCACTCGGCCAACGAGGCAGTCTAACTTCAGTATATTGTATGGAACAAGATCACAAGACTATGTTGTACATATAACATTCATAGTGAGTATAATTACCTTACGTATTCCAAGCGAAAAAGTATCTTATTCCCATAAACATTTATGACACAATTTCGCTTCGTTTTCCATAGTATAAAACGTATATTAACTCGTATATAAATGTAAGTTAAGTCCATTCATCTTCGTACGTGAACTATGTAGGAAACTTTAATGCAGTTTCATAGAATTTTGAAATGTATCACGTGTTGTTAATGGAATTCGTTCTAGAACGTTCTCTGGTATATTGTTATTTCTTTTAATGGTTCTCGTAATATGTTATTCTTTTTTATTTTATATAGACTGAACAGCTTGTGCATAGTATGTCTCGGTTTGTCATTGGTCTCTCATTTTCTCTGATTTTAAATTTTACGCATATTTGCAGCGGCTCCCTGCGACGTTAATGAGGTCGTCTGTCCACCTTGTGGATGGATGTCCTACGCTGCGCTTGCCGGTACGTGGCCTCCACTCGAAAACCTTTCTGCCCCAGCGTGCAGCGGCCGTTGCAATTATAATTATTTTCACTTAAATCAAGGACAAAAATCCCTACAGCAAAAAACGCAATCTTCACCTCCGACATCAAATTTACCCCAAACGTAAAACCTTCACCCAAAACCGTGGCAATGCTAATATAATATTTGCCCCTTCTTGCTATATTTCATTATTATTACTAAATTATAACGCAATAAATCATACTGCGTCGGAACAATAGCGTACAAATGTACTTGGAGCGCCAAAATATCTGTCTGCCACACTGAAAATGGCAGATTTACGAACATGGTTTAAGCTTGATTAATCGCAGTATAGCTCAGTATCTGCTTATGGCTTGAGTAATTAATTTGTAAGTTGAATTAAAAATTAATCGGTTTTTAATCCGCAATCTCGTGTTGGGGG